AGGGTATTTTAAGGGTAATTTTAACGATTGGCCGCTTCAAATATTTTCTTTTAATTTGGTTTTAATGGATATTTATTGTACTGTGGTTTTATAAGGCTGTTAGCCGCCCTGAGTCCGGTGAGGAGAAGGGCGGGGTACAAATTAAATTATTATTATTATTATTATTATTATTATTATTATTATTATTATTATTATTATTTTACAAAATTCTGTATGAATTTTATGCTATTTTGCACATGGGAAGATTTGTGTGTGGAAAATAGAGTAAGGTAATAAGATCAGTGCTATGAGAGTGGGAAATATACTCAAACCAACGTTGTAGTATTATGTTTATGATTGTAACTATGAATCAATATTGATGTAAATATCCTTTACTTAACAAGCCAAAAAACTCCCTGGTCCAGTTTGAATCAGTTTCTCCACATTTATAAAACAATATTATTTTATAGATGTGGATATACTGATTCAAATTTCACTAGGTTTTTATTGCCTGAGAGTAAAGGATATTCACATCCATATTGATTCAATTACAGGCTAACCTTCACTTCAAGCTATAAGTTAACTGATCTTGTCTTGAATGCTGTATATATTTAGCTAATTGTGACTTAAATTAATACATTTCGTATTTGAATAAATGACAATTAAATATAGACATTTTTCTCATGTTTCTGCAAATAATAACCATATCAGCATAAAGCTTCTTTTCTAATTGATCATCTTGATTTCCTTATCATAGATCCTGTTTACAAATTCTTCTTTAAATTTGTTTTCCCCACAATATTCAAAGCATTCTTACTGGTTAACATTTTCTCAAAATTAGTTACACTTATTTATTTATTTATTTATTTTATTTAACACTAACTTGTATGCCGCCCTTCTCCCCACGGGACTCAGGGCGGCTCACAGCACATTAAAACAACACAAAAACATTTCCCCTTTAAAAGCCAATTAAAACCAAATATTTATAGCTGTGACATTATTAAAATCTTTAAAAATTTTCCCTATTTAAAATTCACCCTAGGTCAGTC